TAATGATCACTCCCCTCTCCCCACGCTGTGAATGGGGTCAAGGAGATTTGAAAGGGGAGGGAGAGGAGGGGGGTAAGGGGAGAGGGTCAGGAGAGGTCAGGTGAGTTTTCCATTTCATCCCGCGCGAGGCTGCCAGAGCTATTCTCCATGGTGTATTTCACATTCAGCTGCGGTGAATGGACACTGATAGCTGTGAAAGGATCTGGCACTGTATGAACAGCCCTTCCCTAAGCGCTCGCTCTTGTGCTCGCTCCCACCCTTTTCTTCCACAGGGCTTCCAGGGAGCGGGGAATTAATAACGTTCATAAAGAGCCCCCTTGGAAGGTTGGAAATGTAACGTTGCGGGTGTGAATGGAAACCCAAGGGCTGACAATACCCTGCGCCCTCCCCTCTCTCTCTCTCTGCTGCTCGTGGGGAATGCGGTTCTGCATCCAATCTGTGGCACGGAGGGGAGGCAAGGTGTGAGGCTGCGCCACCTGCAGCCCCTGCCCAGCAGCACTGCCTGCCTCCAGCCTTGGCAATTAGGTGGGGTGATTATTTCCTGCATACGAAAGAGCTCGGCTTATTACGGAGCCCTGGCAGGTTGCAAACAACAGGAGAATCTCATCCTCTGTGGTCTGACGGTTGCTGCAGCTGTTTGTTAACCAGGGCTAGGTGCATGGCAGCCGTAAATCAGGGAGGTTGTAGCTGCGTGCAGGGAGATCTCAGCTCTTCTGTGCCTGCAGTGACTGGGAAGATTAAGGAGAAGTAAGATGTGGATCCTCCTGAGGAGCCCACGAGTTTTTCTAAGCTGCACAACTGCACCCAAACTCTACTTTTAATATATTTCTCCAGGTGCTGTGAGGTTTGTGCCATCTGAAAGCAAAAGCTGTGACCCGGAGCCTCTGCCCTGAGAAAGGAAGTGGGAGGTTAACTTTCTACGTGCTGTACTGCTCTGTGAATGAGTCCCTGTGTGTGATATCAGCAGTGCATTCAGTGTTTCCGTGTGCCTGTGCACCTGCTGGCACATTGCTGGGGTTTGCACTGGGCTTCCCCCTGCATGGCCATGCTGTACCTGCAATGCTTTGAGACGGGGAGAATGTGTGTCAGAGCTTTTCTGTAGTGGGCACTGCCCTCAGGCCATGGCAATGGCACGCATCCCATGTGCCAGCCCAACACCTGGGAGGAAATGGACACCCTGAAGTTGATTTTCTTGGCTTCACCCCTGGTGCTGCCAGGTGAGTGGGATGCAGGCAGCCCAGCCTGCCTTCCTCCTGGGTGCTTTCAGGGAGGGGAGCGGGTGCAGGAGGCACCAGGGGTGCAGCCCTTCGTGTCCTGGCTCTGGGTGCTGGGCAGGCTGAGGTGGGGTGGGTGGTAAGAGCTGCTCCAGGACCGCCCTCCTCCTGGTGCCAGCTGAAAGCCTCCAGGTGTTGATCTGCTGTTTCTCTGTAGAGGAAGGAAAGGAAAAGTTTGGTTTGCAAGCTTAAAACTAAAATAGAAAGGCGGAGTGAAAAGGTGCTGCGTTTCTCCTGCAGGAGCAGAGGAAAAGCCTTAGTGCTCACAGCAGGTGATGTCCTCCCCAAGGCACCACAACTCAGTGAAAGCTGGGAGAAAGTCTCACATGTGGCTCCTTCTGCTTCTGTGTGCAGGAAATCTTAGGCAGAGAGTGGGGGGTGGCTGTTACCCTTGTCAAGGCGCTTGGCATTGTGTCCAAACATTATTTGTGTTGTAGCAGCTTGGGGAAACTGAGGCCAGAGGGCAAAAAGTGCTTTCTGTCCTGCAGCTTTCTGGCCAGCCACCCCAGCTGATGATGGAGGGGTCTTCAGCACGAGGTGCATCAGGTCCCACTGCATTGGAGGAGCAGTGTTCTGCTACCTCGTGTGTAAGGAATGAATGAATGCTACTGAGCTGCAGATCTCTCCCCTGCATTGAGATGAAGGGTCAGAGCAGCAGCTCCAAGCAGTCCTCCAGCAGAATCTGCCAGACAAATATCTCTGGAAGAGGTTAGCATTTTAAATGAGGTGTCAGGTCTTCTGCTGGGCCTGTTGCTCAGAGCCAGGTGTCACCTGTAGAGCTGAAGGCAACATCTCATCGTCTTGTAATAAAATAATAATGCCCTGTTTCAGAGCCGGGCCCTTCAGCAGGCAGGAGCAGCGTGGTCCTTCAGCTCCATTTGCACATCCCTGCCCTGTCACCTGCACTGCAGAGGAGCCGTTTGCAAAGCACCAGCAGATCAGAGGTGACACCAATGCAGGGCTTTGGGCAAGGTTCAGCTGTGAGCCAGTGTCTGGGCATTTCCTTCTGAGCTGGTTTGGGACGAGGGGCTCTGTGAGGCTGCTGCTGGCAGCCTGTGTTTGCTCAGCACCATCCACAAGGGGCCCAGCTCAGGTGTGGCCGTGCTGCTAATAACACACCACGTGCTGTTATCAGCAGGCAGGGAGGGCCCTGAAACCAAACCCTCGTGTGTACCTGCTGCTCGGTTCCACCTCTGCTTGCCTGCACACCACTTAAATAGCTTTGCCTGAATGCTGTGTACCCGGGCTTGGCTCAGAGGAGTGCTGCAGGGATCTGCTGTCCTGCTCAGCATGGAGGAGGTGAGTACTGGCTCCTGCAAGCCTGACACTTTTCCCTTTTCCACCTCTCTGCCCCGTCCTTGCAGACCAACAGGCTTTTGGAGTCTGCGCTGGCAGTTCCTTCCAACTCAGCCCCTCTGCGGGCAAAATAAAGAGGTAATGAACAAACACTGGGGCAGAATGCAGCTTAAAGAGCAGGAGATGCATGATCATCTGTTGTCTGTGACTTGGTTGCTGCTGCTAAGTTCTGATCTCTGGCTGCCCATGGGTATCACCACTGGGTACAATGAGATCTGTTTCCCTCATTGAAGTCCTTTGAGGGTGTAGAGAGGGGAAGAGATGGGTCTCTTCTTTTTTACTGGCGAGAAATTCAGCCTCTCTCCCTTAAGCCAAAGTTCTCAGGCAGTCAGGGAGAGGTACAGCTTCCATCTTCCTCCCCAGTGCCAGCTGGTTAATCAGTGCTAGCAATATCACCAGGATAAAGAGCAGAAGATTTTATTTCCTTGTGCATACGTGTGTGTGAGGCATCATTTACTGTCTATTCAAGGTGGGATATCTTTCCCTTCATAAGCTCTCCACACCCCCAGGCTACAGCAGTGGGATTTCAGCAGCCGGTAACGCAGCATCACCCATCCAAATGCAGCTCAGAGTGGTGGAGGATCTGTGGGCTTTGCTTTGAGAGCTGCTTTTTTCCTCTGCCGGAGCCGGAGGGCTGCAGCTTAACTTCCTATCCTGAGGCTGTCAGCCAGCTGTGTACCCATCACCAAGGAGCAAGGCTGACATCCTGTGTCTGGCCCACAACTGAGAAAGGTGGTTGCTGCCCCCAGTCGCTTCCTTGCAGACCGAGTGGCTCTGAGCATAGCTGGGGCTTCTGAGTTCCTTTGAAGTGATGTGCAGAGATTAAAAGGCGAGCTGCTGCTCTCCCCCCCTCTGCTGTCAGCTCACTGTTTGACCTTGAGCGAGCCATTTAAATGTTCCCAGTTGTTAAAAGAAGATATCCTTTGTGACAGTCAAGGTCTGAGGGAGTGCGGAGAAGGAAGGTGAGGGATTCTGGTAGAAAAATAATCAGTGCTTATTGTGTGTAATTGGCAGCCTGACAGCTCCTCAGCTGGGGAGCTGCGCCCCTTCCCTACAGCAGTGAGTGATGCTTCTGTCTTTGTAAAACCTCACTGCTGCTCCTCCGGCACTGCCCAGCCATGTCCATCCCTCAGAGCTGGGGACAGGAACATGTGTTGGCCTGGAAATGTTCCCTGTAAGAGGAGATGACTTTTCCTCCAGCTGAAACAAAGAATTTATTGGGGGATAGGACTGCTAAACTGGATTTTCACCTTGTTCCTCCTGCTGGACTCACCCTGTGCTATTAAGAGAGTGCTGTACACAGCCACTGCTACCCTGCACCCAGGGATGGGGCAGGTGGAGATAAAGTGCTCCTCCTGAATGCCCCGGTGATATCCATGGTCAGGACAGCAAGACCTGCTGTGTCTGTGCAGAGAAACCCCCTGGCAGGCTGTTCAGGGAATGAGGTTAGAATGGATCAATCCCTGAGAACGAGGCAGCAGTTTGTTTTACTCCCGAAGCAACATCTGTGCAGGAGCTGAACGTCGCCCCACTGCTAAATAAACCCTCTGCCTTTCTCAGCATAACCACAGACCATCTTCCTGAGTTGCTTTTAGCAGAACAGTTTGGTGGAGGGGGCTGGATGCTGGAAGCGTTGTGCTGTTGCTTTGCTTATAGCTGGCTCAGTGGCACGCTCCTTACAAACTTATAAGCAGCACCTGCTGCCTTCCCTTATTTGCTCAGACCCCGTCCGGATCTGGTGGCCTCTCCTCTTGGAAGAAAGCTGGGAAGAGGGTGCGTGTTACAGGGCAAATAAATGACTCAGACTAATGAGGAAGGTAATTGCCGCTCACTGTTAGGGATAAAGTGGGTCAGGTTTGTTTGTGAAACTCCACGGAGGCACCATCTGTTCCCTGCGCCCCGTGCTGGGGGCTGGCAGCAGGATTTGGGTGAGTGCTTCCCCAGGAGCTGGGTAGGAGGTGTCCCTATCATTAAGCGATGGCTCAAGTCTCCAGAGTGTCCCTGGGGACGCTCTGTCCTCAGACAGGGGCTCCTAATTGATTTCACTGGGAAAAGGGACGCTACGTCCTTTAGGAGGATCTGCCCTTTGTGGCTCTGTTCCATTGCAAGATGAGGCTGAGTGGGACGCCGAGGGGTCGTTAAACCTCTGCCCGAAGGCAGGATTGGATTTTCCCAAATCATTTCTGACAGGTGCCCATCTCACCTGCCGTGAGCCCTTGGGGAGCAGCCCAGCACGAGTCGCAGAAGCCCACAGCTCTCCCGGGGGCCCTTGGGTCAGGGCTGCCTCCTTCAGCTGTGATGTGTCCATGTAGCACCAGGTCTGAGCCCTTTCCCCTGCTTGTCTAACGAGCTCTCCTTTTTTTTATTTAGAGCACATCATGCGAGCAGAACGGTGAGCACAGAGCGGATCCCTGCCTGCCCACACTTGACATTACTGGGACCACATCTCTCAGCAGGAGGAAAAGGCGCTTCGTTCACCGATGCTAAAAATGGGAGGCAGCATCTGTCCAGCAGACAGGGAAAAGAAACTGCAGGCTTTGCCTGTGGGACACCGTGGGTTGTGCTGCAGTGCTGCAGCCCATGGGCAGTGAGGGACAGCATGGCTCTCAATGTGCTCCTGCACAACCGCAGGGCTCAGCTCCTGCTGCTCAACTCTCTGACGTTCGGGCTGGAGGTCTGCCTGGCTGCTGGCATCACCTACGTGCCTCCATTGCTCCTGGAAGTGGGAGTGGAAGAGAAGTTCATGACCATGGTGTTGGGTAGGCAGTTTCTCCTTCATTCCTGTGGGGTTTGTTCCTCCTTTGGGGAGCAGATGAGGGCATGCAAGTGTGTGTGTGTGTGTGTGTGTGTGTGTGTGTGTTTGGGGGGGCTGTTTGCAGGACTGCTGTGATACTGGGGCAGCCTCGTGTTTGAGGAGGAGGCTGTGACCCACTGAGTTCCAGAAATGCCCCAGGCTTTTGTTGCCGTGCACACAGATGTACGTCCCGTCCAGATCTGTCCCCTAACGCCACTTCTTTCTCTGCTCCAGGAATAGGACCTGTCCTTGGCCTGGTTTTTGTCCCACTGATTGGATCCGCCAGCGACCACTGGCACAGCAGCTATGGCCGAAGGCGGCCGTTCATCTGGGTGCTGTGCCTGGGAGTCCTGCTGAGCCTCTTCATCATCCCTCACTCCAGCACCCTGGCCAGCCTGTTTGCCCTCAATCCTCGCCCTCTGGAGATCGCCTTCCTCATCCTGGGCATTGGGCTGCTGGATTTCTGCGGTCAGGTCTGCTTCACCCCTCTGGAGGCACTGCTCTCAGACCTCTTCCAGGAGCCAGATAACTGCCGCCAGGCCTTCTCCATGTACGCCTTCATGATCAGCCTTGGGGGCTGCATTGGCTACCTGCTTCCAGCCATTGACTGGGGGGCCAGCTTTCTGGCCCCGTACCTGGGAGGACAGGAGACGTGCCTCTTCAGCCTCCTCGCTGTCATTTTCCTTGGCTGTGTGCTGGCCACGCTCTTCGTGACCGAAGAAGCAGCCGCTCAAGCAGATGCTCTGGATGGCCCAGCACTGAAGGATGCTCTCCCTAAGCCCTCGCCTTCTGCCTGCTGCTCTTGCCAGCTCTCCACGAGCCTCCTGCAGGCCAGGCACATGATGCAGGCCCTGAGAAACCTCTGCACATTGGTGCCACGGCTTCACAGCCTCTACTGCCGCATCCCCAAGGTCATCCGGCGCCTGTTTGTGGCTGAGCTCTGCAGCTGGATGGCACTCATGACTTTCATGCTGTTCTACACGGACTTTGTTGGGGAAGGGCTGTACCATGGTGTCCCCAGAGCCAAGCCAGGCACAGATGCCAGACGCCGTTATGATGAAGGTAAGAAATAAACTGGGTTGTTCGTTTTTTTTTTTCCGAGGCTACAGGAGTATTTAGAGGGAGCTGGGAATGGGTTCAGCTCTGCCAGTGATGCAAAAACACAGTTAAACTACATTTGCTGCAGCTGGGTCGGGAGAAAGCATTTTGCCATGACCCACAGTGGATCAAATAGGGAAACACATCTGTTCTTTGAGCACAGGAGTAGAGCTGGCAGTGCAGCCCTGGCCTGGGACTCGCTGTTGTTGCCTGCTGTCCTCTGTTTAGTTGCCCCAGAGCCTTGACTCCACCATTCAGCCCTTCTTTCCCCCCACAGATCTAAATCTATTATTCCTGGAGGCACTTCCCTGGCCCTCCTTCCCCAGCTGTGTACCTTGCCCTCCAGGTTTTCCACTCACTGCCTCTGCAATACACTGCCTCTTTGTGCCAAGTGTCTGTTTAACTTAGAAGGAGCTTAATTATTATTTAACACTTGCACTGTAAAGCTTCCTGCAGGTCAGGGCTGCATTGTGCTTGCAGTCACAGAAACACGTGTTGAGTAATGATCCTCGCTTCAAAGAGTTAATGCTTTTAATTCCCTGAAATCTGATAGATCTTTGCAGAGGGTGAGGCCCGGATTGCTACCGGATACGGCAGTTGCTCAGTGCTTGTTGTATGTATGCTTTCCCTTGGCTGAAGCACAATTTCTTGCTCCTTTTGTTCCGTTGCTGCTTTAGGCATCAGATAACAGATCCTGGTTTATGGGCAGGTGACAGATCTTGGCCTAGAATAAGGTGAGAACAAGAACTTTACAGAAGAACGCCATTAGGATTCCCACCTCCCATCGCCCCTGCAGTCAGGCCGAGGAGTCCAGGAGCAACGCTGTCAGACCCCGCAGGGGCAGATTGAGGCTGGAAGGTGCTCAGCTGCCTGAGGCCCATTGTGGGCCATTGTAGCAGTGTCTGACCCTCTGTTTCCCTGCAGGTGTCCGGATGGGAAGTTTGGGACTCTTTTTGCAATGCGTCACCTCCATTTTCTTTTCGACAATCATGGATCGGATGGTGAAGCAGTTTGGGACACGAGCTGTGTACCTGGCCAGCGTGGTGTTCTTCCCTGCTGCTGCCTTTGTCATGTGCCTTTCCCACAGTGTCACTGTGGTCACCATCTCTGCTGCTCTGACGGGCTTCACCTTCTCTGCACTCCAGATCCTGCCGTACACGCTGGCATCGCTGTACCATCATGAGAAACAGGTAGGGATCTGCTCTGGAGCTGCCAGCACAGCTTGGGTGTGCAGTGGGAGCACACAAAGGTTCTCTTCCTTCACCTCTTATCCCCAGGCTGTGTCCTCTCTGAAGATTCCCATGACATTTAGGAGAGAAGAGAGCTCAGCATCTTCCTGCCCTGAGCATTGCCTGCTCACGACTAGCATTAGGAAGTGTTAAGAATTGGGGTGGGAGTAGGATGGGAGAGAGAAGCGAATGAAAAGTGGTGTCCAGCATCCCTCTGTGCTCTCAAAATTGTTGACCCGAGGCCCTGTTTACAATTTTTGTCCATATAATTAAGATCAGTGAAACGTAAACTACGATTCTTCCTATCCCTCTGGCTCCAAGAAGTACAGACATTGAAACCCCTCTGACACCAGCACTAAAGCTAGTAATGCCATCCCATAGATGATATCCTTGTGGGAAAGTCTTAGGAGGTTCCTGAGTTATGCACAGGATTAATAGGAGTTTCTCTTGTGCTGCAAATGCACAATTAATTTGTGGCTTGAGAGCAGCCCTTTCATCCCCATGGTGAAATAAGGAGAAGTTCTCACTGCAGGCATCCAGATGTTCACATTGAACAAATGCTTCTGACCAACCTGTCCCGATTTGCAGCAGGCACTGTGTCCAAACAGGGAGATAAAGGAGTGCTTGGCTGGGATCTCTTACGGACGTGGCAGAACCAAACCCCACAGGCTGTGAGTGCAAAGGCCACACATCCAGCTGCTTGATGGGCAAAAGCTCCTAGTACAATGAGATGGGGCACAGCTGGGTTTGGTCTTTCTGTTGTCTTAGCTTGAAGGCTTCTCCTTCTTCCCTCAACTCCAGCAGGCTGCAGAGAGACCCACAGTAGGCATCCCCATGCAGGATGTTCTCCACCTTCATCACTTTTTTTCCTCTGACTATTGAAATCCATCATCACTTTTGCTTGCCTTCCCTCTTTCCTGCTTCTTTTCTTCCCTCTCTTTCTTTTTCACCTTTCATTTATTTGAACTGCTCCCAAACTGAATCAGCAGAGGGGCATCCAGAGCAGCTGTTACTCCCATCCCATGCAGGGTTGTGGTGACAGCTGCCAGCCCACCTTGGCTGGAGCTCCATGCTGTGTGCAGGCTCTGTAAGTCACTCCGTTCTGCTGCATGCCCTCCCATCTTTGCATAGCCACTAAACCTTGTCTGGAATGGGTGGAAAAGACCCACATGTTCTAACAGCACCCGAGGGCACGGTGAGTGGCGTGGTGAATGTTCACACGTGGGCTTGGGGAGAGGTTCCTCATTCCCACCACTTGCCATCAAATGTAGAGGGAGACGAAGCTGCTGATGGTGGCAGCAGCCCCTGGGTTGTGTGCTGTATTACGTGGGCTGATCTGAGAGCATAAATCCTCACCATGCTCACTCCTGTGAGCATCTGAAGTCCTAACCTGAGCAGGATTCTGGGAGCATCGATGCAAAAGGCTGGAAATGTGGGGCACATCCAAGTTTGGATCACACAGTGCCCTTCCTGGTGGTAGCAGGAGCCACGTGGGCAGACTTTTGTGCTCCACGTGAGATATGTGACAGCCTGGGTTTGTGCTTCTGAGCCCAGACTCGAGGGGCTGAAGGGTGCAGTGAGCATCTGAGCAAAGCCTGGCTGTTGCAAGGAAAACCTTTGGAAGCTGATTCCTGCTCTGTGAAATTCCCGTCTGGTTTCTCTTCTCTGATGGGACCTGAAACTGTTTGCCTTGCAGAAGTGCAGCCATGGCCTGGAGCAGCACAAACAGCGGCTGCCTGGTGCTGACACACACTGGGGCAGGGCTGGGTGCAGCTGGGGGGATCCAGTGCTGCTGAAAGCTCTGGGGTGGCTGCAATGGGGCTGGGGAAGCTGGCAGCCGGTGTCCCTGGCCCTCCTGCACAAGGCAGGGTGGTTCAGCAGGTCCTTCTGTGCCATGGAGCTGGACACAGCGTTCTCTGCTCACAAACAAGCACTGTTTTTTCCTTTTCAGTTTCTTTGTTTGCTCTGTTTCATCATGTGGACAACGGTTGAATGCGTCCTTCCTTATCTGCTCTACCCTATACAGGCCAGTGGTTGTGCATAATTGCAAATACCCTGGGGTTCTATTACAGGGCTCTGCAACGTTTTTGCACCCGACTGCATGTTATTTATTGCTGTTCACACGGAGAGCTTTTTGATCCAAACACTTTGTGAGTAGCACTCACATATGGCTGCAGTGAGCCATGCCCCAGAGGTCGCACAGCCTGGGTGCAGTGAGGCACAAGAAGGTGAGAAGGAAAAGGCTTTTCTTCCCCCACTCTCGCAGCCTGAGTGGGCAGAGCATCTCACCCGAGCTCTGCGCAGAGCTGAGCCCCCAGCATTGTGCCCTCACTGATGTTGTCCCTCGTATCCCAGTTGTTAAGGAGTCAGCCTGCTTATAAAGGCTTGTCCTTGTGCTGGGGGGGGATGGCTGGCTCTGTGATGCTCCCAATGCAGGCTCTGCCCCTTTGCTCCTATCCCAGCAGAGCACCTCAACCTCAGGTTGTCACCTCCCCAGCAGGTAGGTGACAACCCAGGACTCAGAAACACCACATCCCCAAGCGCAGGGCTGGCATTGGGCTGCAGTGCTCTGCTTCAACGCAGCACAGGCACCTCTTGGCTGCTTTCCCTGTGAGTCAGGGCTGCTTTGAGCCCCGTGCCAGCTGGGAAGAGCCATGCTGGCTCCTGGAGGCCATCTCACGTGGACCAGGCTCTCCCACCTGCAGCAGCACACCCAGCACTCCCAGCACAGGGTGGTTTCGCTCCCTCACACACTCTAAGCCCCCCACCCCGACCCCCCACCTCGCTCGATGGCCTCCACCCTTCCTCCTCATTCCTCACGTGCCCTCCTTCTTTCCACCAGGTATTTTTGCATAAATACAAGAGCAAAGAGGAGAGAGACGCAGCTCGATCGGACAAGAAATCATCCTTCCCCAAAGGCCACCTCTCCAGCCAAAAGCTGCCTTACCAGAACGGACACCCCGGGGGCCTCTACTCCTCATCCTCCTCTTCCTCCTCTCCCCCAGCTGCCAGCTCTGCCCTGTGTGGCAGCTCCTCCTGTGATGTCTCACTGATGATGATGGTGGGCGAGTCGGATTCGGTTCCTCCGGGCCGAGGGATCTGTTTGGACCTGGCCATTTTGGACAGTGCTTTCCTCCTCTCTCAGGTTGTCCCCTCTCTCTTCATGGGGTCCATCGTCCAGTTTACGCAGTCGGTGACTGCCTACATGGTGTCAGCTGCCAGCTTTGGCCTCGTTGCCATTTACTTTGCAACCAAAGTTGTCTTTGATAAGAGTGACATGGCCAAGTACTCGGTGTGATGGCGAATGCATCGGGGGCAGCACGTGGGTGCCAAGATGAGGGGTGTGCACATCCCCATGGCTGCTTGTGGGGTGCTCCATGTTGTTTGTGCTGTCCCCGTGCTGCTGCTGGGAGCCCCAGTGCTGCTCTGGGGCTGGGGATGGCAGAGGGGCGGCAGGGATAATCTCAGGTGTAAATAGGAAGCACTGGGGGCATCATGCTTTGGGCCATCAGTGCTTTCCACACAGTGCCTTTCTCACAAGTAAGCACTGCACAGCCAACACCAAAGGGATTGCACTGGGGGGAGGAAGGAATCGGGCTTTTCCTTTAGTAATGGGTGTGGGGAGGGGGGAAGAGCCACTGGCTCTCCTGCCTTCCAGTGATGGATGTATCCTCTGCCCCCACTTGCTGCAGTTGTGCTCAACTTATTGAGTAACGCTTCCTCAAAGAGGACACTGAGAGGAGATTCACCTTGGAAGAAGGACGGGAGCTCAGGTTTGGCTGTGGAGCAGGAGGGATGTGTGTCTGTTCTGACAGGGAGAAACCACCCAGGAGAAAAGTCACTATGGCATGTTCTGGAAAAACAAGGAACGTTTCCTTAGGACCGATTCCAAAAGATGACTTATCTTTTACCTAGGCACCAAATTGCATCAGACGGAAAGGACTGCTTAACATTTTTATTTCTTTTTTTAAGAATGATTCTTTTTAGCTTTCCTTTAGCTGGATAACTGACCTCTCTCTCAGTGCCCAGAACAGCCTCCTGTTCTCTCCCAGCGCCTCCTACCAGATCCAAACTGATCTGCACCCCCAAACCCGACCCCTGAATGATGCTGCAGCATCACGAGGGTTCAATCCTGCAACGAGGGAGGAGAACAGGCAGAGCTCTCCGTGAAGGCAATCTGGGAACAAACACATCTCATCAAATTCTAATCTGCTCCAAGTGCCTCTCAATCCCATAACACTGGGACCAGTGCTGCTGGGTTGGTCAGCTCTCAGATGTGAGTCACCTCCTGCTGGCCCGAGACAAGTGCACCAGCTGCACCAGTGCTCTGCCACTCAGAGATCACCCCTGTGCTGAGCAGGAGCTGAGATCCCAGCTTGCAGTTAGCACTTAGGTTCTGAAATGGTGCAGGCAATGGTGCAGGCAATGCCCAGAGCGAGGCATCTGGAGGCAGGGCTGGGGGCTGGGACTCAGCAGCCCTCATTTTCAGCTGCAAACAAAGTGTTTGCGACCAATTTTCAGTGGAGGTGTGTGGGCAGTGAGATGTGCTGGTGAGGCACTGCTGAAGGGCAAGATGTTGCTATTTTTGCAAGGTGGTGGCAGAATATTACTTGGCATGGAAGTGAGATTGCTGCCCTGCTGATTGCAGGCGGGTCCTAAGAGGGCTTCTCCTCACTGCTTTAAACGCATCTTTCCCGTAAGGGGTGACTTTTTGTTTTATTTCTCCTCAAATTATATGCCTACCAGCTTCCCTTTCCCACAAGAAGCCCTGTGTGCTGAAATGCAGCTGTTTTGGGAATGGATTTGGCAGCTGCGTAAGCATCGACGGAAGCGGTTTTGTGTGTGTGTGCTTCCAGCCCTGGTCTCCGTCCACCCCAGACTTCAGGGGGAAATCCTGCAGGCAGAAGGTCGCTACCAAAGCTGCAGCACTTCTTGAGTGCTCGCAGGGATCAGTAACCTTTTCAAAGAGGTCCCTGCCTGAGTTGCTGGAACACTTTGCCATTTGTTTAAGTGCCTGAAGAGTGCTTCCACAACACAGCCTGGGTGTGCAGGTGGGACGATGAGGGCCTTGAGAGCTTCGTTAAGAGCATCCAAGTGATGCTTGAGAGAGCAGTGGGCTCAGGGGGCTGGCAGCCTTTGCTCTGAACGTCTTTTGGTTTGCAGTGTCAGAGCCAAAGGTGGGGCAGTTCTTCATCCTTAACTTCATAGCTGTCCCTCGAGAGCAGAAGGCTGAAATCTGCCCGATTCCCCCATCCACAGAGGTGGCTTTGGAGTAGTGAGGTACCGACGGCCAGGAGTGGCTTGTGGTGACATTGGGTGCTGCAGGCTGGGTGTCCCAGCTGAGCTGGAGGGCCTGAGGTCAGTCCATGCTGGTTGGGGCCTCCACTCTGCCCTCTGCCCTCTGATCACCCATCCACATCTGCCCTGTGTTGAGGCTTTGGTGCCCAGGTCTTGGTGGCAACTCTGGTCTTACACATCCAGGGAGGTGCCTGCATTTCCTTCATTTATGTTCTGAAAAGACCCTTGAGCCCATGGCTGTGGCTAGCTGCTCTTGCTGCTTCATTCCAGGTCGGTGCCTGGTGTCTCACCTTGGCCTGACCTGGGAGATGGTTGGTGACACAGCTCCTTCTCTGCAGAGATGTGGTCCCATCTCACCATCCATTCACCTCCTGGCTGTGCTGCTCTTGTTCCAGTCAGCTCAGCAAGTGTGAGAAGAGCTCCTGGTTATCTACCAAGAGGCTCTCTGATTTCTCAGCTCCCTCTCCCCCCTTCTTTCCATTTCCTCAGCTGGAGTGAAACCCTGCGGATCCTGTAATTGCTCCTTTCCTCCTTGCCCTCCTATTACACAGGAGAAATCTGCTGGGCCCTCTGCCAGCTCCCAACACAGTGGGCAGATGGGTGCAGGGAGGAGCTCTTGCCAAAGCCCGTTGCTCTTTGCAAACCCTGTCCCCTGCGGGAGCCCAAACCCAGACAGATGGGGGCTGTCTGCAAGAGAGCGCTGTAGAAAACCACAGTGTGCAGCCTGGTCCTGGATCATTACCAAAAGCCTTTTTTCCTAGGTCAGGATGTCACTGAGGCTTAAAGGAGAGGCATTTTCCAGGATACGTACTGAGAAACTGCTCTCTTCGTAAGATTGTCCTTTGTGGGTGAGCAGTGTGCTGCTAGGACCAGCTCCCTGTGTCTGCATCCCACACAGCCCAGCAGGGGACACAGGTATGTTCTGGTAAACGAAAGCACACCCCTTGCACACTGTTACTGATCTAACCAGTGCGAGCACAGAATTCTCCTTAGGACTTGATCATAGTGTACAATTTATAGGTATGGGTGCAGGCTTCTCAGAGGCTGTTGCTGGGAGCCCTTCTGTTTCTGTAGGTGCACTTCTGCTTGGGTGAGCCACGCTGTGCCTCTCCTTTCCTATTGCAAGGTGGTGATTCTGGGATGTGGAGGGGAAAAGGGAGAAAGTATTTTCTAACAGGAGATGATTGCTGTGGATTCTCCGGGCGAGGGAAGAGCGTTTGATGCTGTTTTTTCCTTTTGAGATCGCATACTGTCTGCGAGACGCGAATGTTTTATTTATTCAGTAGAGTAAATATTTTGTATACGATGCGAGAAGAAGGCTGTTCTAATTTTATTATGTAAAGGAGGAAATTAAAGGTGTTGGACGGACGGACGGACGGACGTTGTGCGTTACTGCCGTGCGCCGCAAGGGGGCGCCATCACCGCGGCGGCTCCGCAGCGCTGCCGCTCCGCGCACACAGAGCGCGGCGCCGCGTTCCGGCCGTCGTCGACCGGCTGCGTTAAACAGCGGTTAAACATCGTTAAACAGCTGAGATTTCCCCAGTTCCTGCAAGGAACTGCGGTAATATCAGCTCTTACCCCGTGTCTCAGGTTTGTATTTAAGCAAATGGCACCCGACGGTGTTCTCTCACAGACAGCGATGAGCTGCGCTGTCCGAGCGACCACACGCCTTCAGTTTTTGGTTTGGGAGTTTTTGTTTGCTTGTGGTTGGTTGGTTGGTTGGTTTTTTGTCCTGCTCAGACTTGGGAGAGCTTTTCTTCAGCCTCAAATTGCTCTCTAACAAAGCAGAGGAACGTACATTCATTTCCTTGGCTTTACGGTGCTCTGGCAGATGAGCGTCCTCCAGTCTCTGCCGTGCAAACAGCGACAAGAAAAACCTCATTTCCTACAAGGGCGCTTCCAGCCTCGGAACTGTTCACCTGCTTGAAAATAGTTGACCCCAAACCTCTGTCACCATCAAACCCTACGAGTGCTTGGAGACAGCAGAGGAAAACGCGATTCCCTGCTCAGTGCGTTTGCCTCCACGCGGGGACCTCACGCTCTCGGTTTTGTTACTCCGGTGCAGACTGCAGCTACCTGCTAGGGCACGGCTACCTTTCCCTCGTCCTTTTCTTTCTCTGAAACGCTGAAAAAGGAAAAGATAAGATAGCAGAGAGCCGGGGGCATCTCCTGCGGGATCGGCCGCAGCGGCGCAGCGACGCGGAGCCGCCCCCCGGAGCCGAACCCCCGCGGGGCGGAGCGGGCGCGGAGCCGCCCCTGGGCGATGGGACCGCGGTGGCAGCGCGGAGCCCAACAGGTGAGGATGAGGGGCTGCCGGGGGGTGAATGGAGCAGGAAGGGGGGGGGGGGGGTCCGGCCGTTCCCGATGCCCCGGGTCCGGTTCGGGCTGCAAACACCCGCGTGTCCTTGGCTGGGTCGGAGCGTGGGGGGCATCCTTTTATTTCGACGGGATCTGCTCCACGTGGCACCGCTGTAAAAGAGCCTTTGAGCGCGTTTTGTCCCGAGGGCTGTGGGAGGGCAGGCTGCGCTCCGAGGTAAGTCGGGGTTGTGGGGCTGCGGAGTTGGTGGAGCGGTCATTCAGCACCGCTCACGCTGACTTTGGCCCGTGATTTTCCCTCTGTATGAGAGCTGCACGTCTGTGGAGTTCAGGCAGTGATTGAGCGCTCCTGGGAATCTGAACAGCTACAGGGGTGGAAATGCAAGGTGAAGCTCGGCAGCAGCGCTGACCTTGTGCAGCACGTTGGCTTGAAGGCCAAAGTGGGGCCTCGGTGTCACTGCAGTGCTTGATCTGGGGTGACAGAATGGTGGATGTGCATTTCTGCGGGTTGATAAGTCACTGCTATCTGTAACACATCCCCGATGTCCATTAGTGGAGCTCCCCATTAGTTGCCCTTTTCCCCTCTGTGAGGTCAGGCATTGCTATTGCTGCTCTTCGAGGGCATCAGAGCTCTGCTGGAGCTGCACGAGGCTGCAGGAAACCTGCCCAGGTCTGCTCAGCCCCAGACCTTCCTGCCCTCTGGTTGTGCTTTTGTTTGTGTTGCTCACTCAACAGAACTGTTGGCTTTGGATTTGTGGGATATATACTAAATAAACCTTCAGAGCTGAGGAGTTCATGGTGTAATTCAGTTATCCTTGGGGGCATTCTGAAAGGATGAAGACTTCCTGAGCTGCTCTGCAAGGTGGAAAATCAGGTTGGAAAACAGCAGTGTTTGGTAGCCAGAGGGGGAAGGCTCTTGAGAGCCTCTGAAGCGTGCAGACGGAGCTGATGAGAGGGTCAGAAAGCAGAGATCAGAGGATCAGAACGCTGGAACAGAGGCAGGGTGCGATTTGGTGCTGCCTTTCAGGTGATGATTCAGAGCACGGATTTGTGTTGTGATGAAAACACGCAGCCTGCAGGCTGAGGTTTGTCCAAGCCCCATCCTCACCTCGCATGGGAGCACAGCTGGCTCTGCTCCTCACAACCTGTTGGCACAGAGCTGTGCTGGGGACGGCTGTGTGCAGCCCAAAGCGACACAGTGCAACTCTGGGCAAACGGGGAGCTTAGGTGGGGATTATTTCTTCTTCAAGGAAGAGCCTTTCTGTTATATCCAGGCTGCTTCTCAGAAATTTCCTCTCCCAGCTCGCAGGACCCTGGGGAAGCACTGATAAGGAGGACTGGCTCAACTGGTTTGCAGCTCTGCAGAAATCTCATGGACTTGTTTACTCTGGAAAACACTCCTAGGTGACTTTGGCATCGGTTTTCTTTCTCTTGAAAACCTACTTTCCTTATTAAAAGTCCAAGGCAAGCAGGCAGGTGGGGCCGTGCCTCACTGGGTGTCTCAGTACTGTGATGATTCCCATCTGCTTTGAGCTGTGTGCCCTCAGGGGCCCCGTGAGCTGACCCCAGGTGGGCTGTGTCTGTCTGCACTGCGTTCTGAAGGAGTGCCACAGTGCAGGCTGACCTGCTGGATGTGCTCAGTGCCCCTCCAGGCACCACACGGTGCAGCACAGCGGTGCCCATGTGTTCCCTGGCAGCTCCCACGGTTATTAATGGTTCCCAAACCAGTTACTTTGAACCTGGTTGTGATACATCTGTGTTAGGTTGTCGTCGTGCCAATGTTTGGAGAAGCCAGAACCATCCTCTGGATCTCCACTAACACCCATTTGTGAGCCACACGTCGCCCTTTGCCATCCAGCAGCACATTCCTGCCCTCTGGTGCAGGTGGAAGAGTTTTCACTGTGTAATTTTGCCTTAATAAACATCCCAGAGAAGTTTGGTTCTGGGAGGGATCGAGCCCTTAGCAGCCTCCATAGGAAGAGTGTTGGCGTGTGTTTTTTGAGCCGCAGCATCTTTATTATCAAACAAAGACCACTGGCTGCTTTTGCTGTTTTCTTTCTAAGGCACGGTCTGTTACACTCAAAGCCTGGAGTTTTCTTGCTCGTTTCCCATTGGAAATAACCTTGGTGGTGTTCCCTTGCAGATGAGCAAAGACTTCCCCAGCCGAGGTGGTTCAGAGGCTCCTGATCCAGCCCAGCAGGAGCTCAGTGCAGTTGGGGGATGTGGGCCGGCCGGCGCTCTGTGTGAGCAGCCTGGAGCTGCCGAGCCCTTCAGGTTCTTTGTCCCAGCAGCACAGCATGCCGCCATCCCTCCTGCCAAGGCACGGCGCCAAGGAAGGCCCTGACCACCTCCTGGAGGGCAGCACTGGCTGCCATGAAGGCGACCCACTCCCCCTGCCAGAGGCTGATGGGGAGGAGGAGAAGCCCCCCCTCACTGCCTGCGAGGGGCACCTCCAGCTGCCCGACTTCTGCTGCCGCCTTCCTCAGGACTTCATCCCCACCTTGGAGGAGATCGAGGAGTTCCTGAGGGAGAAGGCTGAGTTCCTGAAGGATGGAGAGAGCGAGCAGCACGTGGCTGGAGGGAAGGTTGAATCTGAGTCCGGTTCGGGTGGCTCTGAGGGACATTCACTTCAAGCAGACGGCTCAGATGGCTCCCAGCCTGGAGGGACAGCAGGTGGGAGCAACCAGGCAGCGGCTGATGGAGATGTTCCTGTTGTCCTCCATATCCAGCCTTTCCAGCTTGATAACAGCAGCCTGCCGGCACAGCCTGCTGTCAGAGTGACCCAAGTGGTCATCAGCTTACAGGGACAAAACCTGTCCCTCCTTCCTCAGCTCCAGTCCCCCGTGACCCTGATGGACCAAAAGTACGTCAGGATCGCCCCGCTGCCCAACCCAATGGGAGCGAGGATGCTGGGGGGTGTGCAGGATCAGGAAGCAGCCCCTGCGTGTCCAAAAGCCTCCACACGTGTCCACAAGTGCCCACAGCTGGGCTGCAGCAAGGTGTACACCAAAAGCTCCCACCTGAAGGCCCACATCCGCCGGCACACCGGGGAGAAACCCTACAGCTGTGCCTGGCCCGACTGCAGCTGGCGGTAAGTGGGAGCCATGGATGGGGGGAGGAAAAGCAGGTGAGACCCTTAAGGAGACCCAGAGGGAAATAAAAAGCATTCTGAGTCGCTCTCTGGCAATGTAGTTTGTGCAGCTGGGCTACAAAAATGGCTCTTCCAATGAATTCTTCTCCCAGAAAACAGGAGCTGCTGCTTCCTTCCCATGTTGGCTCAGCCGTCCCTTTGCTTTCTCTCGCTGTGTGCCCACCCTGCCTGCCTGTGTCCCCCCTTCTGGGCCTGCAGCATGGCTCCTTTGTGCATATTCTCCTGTTTGCTCTGTGCACAGCATTGCTTTCTTTCATCTCCGTTCCCTAAATAAACCACCCTGCCCTTCTCTGATTGCTTCCTGCTGCTGTGCTCTCTTCCTGGTACCACATGCCTGTCCTGAGGGGCAGGATGCTCAGCACAGCCTTTGGCAAGGAGGGTTAACAGTCCTCAGGTCTTGCATAGTGCTTCTCCTCAGCAGGATATCACAAGGAAAACTGGTGCTGGCAGCACTGAGCTTCCTTGGTTTCTTGTGCAACGCCTTGGCACCACCTCGCTGCCTTGATTCCCTGCACGATGGAGGATGGCTGCTGTCTCAGAAGGAGCTGAGACTTTGGAACTCACTTTTTGCAATAGAGCTGGAAAAGAAGTAGTTGTGTGGATGAGCTGAGGACGTCCTTGGGATGCATTTAATCCTCACAGAGCTTTTGAAGGGCAAACGTAATGTTTGCCGTACCAGGTGTGAGCGTGAAATCCTATTGCTGGGAGTCTGGGGTTACATCTGAAGCTCCTTGCTTTGTGCTTCTTTGCGTGGGCACGTTTCAGCCAGATGGAAAAACCCTTCCATCCTAATACTCCTGCCATCTGTGTTGGCTCCGTAGAGGCAGAACAGGAGTAAATCCTGCCCAGTCCTCCTGTCCAGCATTCCCCTGGCACTCGGACATGCAAAGCACTCTGCAGTCCTA